GATAAGACTCTATCTCAGATGCGGAGCCTGAATTCGAGTCGGATGCACAAAGCCGTGAAACATGAGTTGAATCGGACATCATGAGCTGCGCGAATCTTCCGGAGATTTGATCTGTCGTAGTCGCCGAAATAGAATAGTCTTCATGGTGATTCGAATCTTCGAGGAGACGGCTTTGGAGCTTGCCATTGTCGTCCGCCTCGCAGATCTATGAGCCAAGATGAAAGTTGATCTCATCGAGAAGATCATGTCTGTCGAGGTCCATCGAGCTCTCTTGATGCAAATTCGCCAAAGCCCCTACACGGCGCGCTTAGTCGTCGATGTTTGACCATCGATAGCACGCCACGGGGTCCCCGGCGATATTGTTCGAAGCTTCAAGATATGCGGAACTCGACGGTGAACGCAAGAGACAATGATTTATCCCGGTTCAGCCCCTCGATTGTGGTCGAGTAATAGCCCCATATCCCAAATGGCGTTAGCCTTTATGCGTTGGATTGATTGTGTGTTGTAGAAATCGTGATCTCTCGTCTCTAGGAACCCTGCCCTCCTTTATATAGTCAGGAGGTCAGAATCCTAGTCGGTTTACAATGAGAGTTCTTAGTAGGATTACAGGATAATACTACTACTAAGATTACATGGGGAAAATCCTAGTTAGACTAGATCTTCTCTCTTCCTTGTGGGGTATCATGTGGGTCCCGCATCCCCCCCAGAGACCGAAAGACACCTTTGCTTGTAGTGCCCTTTGCCCATATGATCTGGAACCATTCTAACCTGGATCATCTCGTGGGTGAGGTTGATTGTGCTTTTGGATATGAGCATCACAATTAGTGGTTGGTGGGAGAAAACACCAGTGAGATCCCAAAAGACAAGAGGTGCAATTTTAATGGTATGACCATCTATATAATGTGTGATATTTGGAAATAACATAATCGAAACATCTTTGACAGTATGTCCCAAACAAAAGGTAGCCCTAAAAGTGAAGGAAGACATTTCTTAGTGCAAAAGCGGTTTTAATAATCCACCCTAATTTTTGTTTTCTTAGCTTAGTGTATCCTTGTGTTCAGGGGAGGTTTCTCAGCCTTTGGGGTTTTTTTCATGTTTTAGTGTTGTAGTCTAGAAGCTGGCCATTGCCTCTCTATTGTTTTTGGGTTGTTTGTATCTCTCTATCTAATTGAAATGTACAGCTCCTGTCATTTGCGTTAAAAGAAGTTTCCAATTCTTGTCTGTATTTGTTTGTTTTCATATTCCGAAATACTTATCTTGTTTTCATTTCCATTTTTGTTTTCGTAGTCAATTGTGGAAACGAAAATGATTAAGCTTGTTTATCCCTACCAATTTGGTTTGACACTTTTTCTCGGTATACTACAATTTGCACATACCCACTTGATTATATCGGATCGGATACCAGTATCCGACGCGTTTGGGCCGATTTGGATACGGCCCAACTTACCTCCCGGCTCCCAGGCCTCCCGCACAGCCACACCGCACAGCACGCCCGACGCACTCCGCCCGGCGAACAGCGAGCGGCGGCCGGCGGCGACGTAGTCTGGCGGCACCCCTCCCAGATCCCGGCCCCTTGCAGTTGCAGCCTGGTGCCCCTGCTCCGCGCATCGCCAGGCGCCTCACCATCAAATCGGCCAGCGGGAGGCAGCTCCTTCATCCCAGCAGGATTCAATCATCAGCGAAGTAACTGGTCACTTCAGGAAGGAGGAGCACGAGCGGAGCACAAGGCGGCCATGGCGGACGAGGCGGAGCTCGCCGCGGACCAGCACGTCCGCTACATCGTCACCGTGGAGAAGGTAACGAGCGCGGCCACCCCGCCCTTCCCGCCCCGCGTCCCCTCGACTCCTCCCTCCGCTTTCCAACGCCCGCTGTTGTCGTCGGCGCAGAAGAAGGACTCGTTCGAGTCGCTGGTGATGGAGCACATCCGCCTCAACGGCGCCTACTGGGGCCTCACCACGCTCGACCTCCTCCACAAGCTCCACGCCGTCGACGCCGCCGAGGTCGTCGACTGGATCATGTCCTGCTACCACCCCGAATCTGGTACCTCACCCCTCGCCCAAATCCTCGCTCTGTTTTTTCTCCCCCCGGTGAATTGGACTGTGGAGAATTAGGTTTGATTCGTATGTGTGGTCTGCTTGGGTTGTATGTGGTTGCACAGGCGGATTTGGAGGGAACGTTGGGCATGATCCGCATGTCCTCTACACGCTTAGCGCCGTGCAGGTCCTCTGCCTCTTTGATCGGCTCTATGTACTTGACGTCGACAAGGTTGCTGATTGTATCCTTTTTCCCAGATTTTGAATTGGGTTCTCATGTCCTAGTGAGCAAAGCCAGTTCTGCAACCTTGGTTTTATTATTAAAGCTCACTGAACTTGAAATCCAGTTCGTTTTCCTTATCTAAATCATGCCAGATGTCGCCGGACTGCAAAACAAGGATGGATCGTTTTCTGGCGATATTTGGGGTGAAGTTGACACTAGGTAAAAACCTTTTATGTGTTGCCACTTTCGAGTTCCTAGCATAACAATCCATGTGAGATAGTAATTAAAGTTTTGAACTTATTGCTTTTTTTTAATTTCTGTATATGTAGGTTCTCATATATTGCCCTATGTACCTTATCATTACTGCACCGTCTGCATAAAATCGATGTGCAAAAAGCTGTAGATTTCGTTGTTAGCTGTAAGAACTTGGATGGTGGATTTGGAGCTATGCCAGGAGGGGAGTCTCATGCTGGACAAAGTATGTCTTACCTTGACTTCACCTGAAAATCTGCTTTGTGGTATTTCTGAGTGCAACTGGAATTTAATCTATTGTTTCTAGAGGATGCTTTATCAAGGAATAAGAATAGGCAAACTGGTTATGGAATGCAGTAGACTTTTTTTTCAAAGGAATATTACTGCATTTTTTTACATGTAATCTGATTACATGTAAAATACCGGGCGTGATCCCTGATCACATGGCCCCGTTCGCTTCGCTGAAAAAACAAGCCGAAACACTGTCTAGCTGATTTGTTGCGAGAGAAAAACACTGTTCCGGCTGAAAAAACAAGCTGAAAAAGACGGATTATAAGAGAAGCGAACAGGGCCTTTGATTATTGATGAAATTTTAATTGACCTATTCTAGTATCACCATAAGACTAGCTGCCTAGTAGCTTGAAATTAGCTTTGCTGGATGTGATTACTTCCATGCTCAAGTATTTTCTGCAAGCTATTGCTTTAACAGTGGTTCAGTTAACCTGAACACCATATACATTTGCATGCAGTATTTTGTTGTGTCGGCGCACTTGCAATCACTGGGTCCCTGCATCACATTGATAGAGATCTCCTCGGATGGTGGCTCTGTGAGCGCCAGTGTAAAGACGGAGGACTTAATGGGCGGCCTGAGAAACTAGCTGATGTGAGGTTTACTTTGTTATAAGTCATGTATGCTTTGCATTCTTCAATACATGTTGCCACTATGGATTTAATTGAACCATTCCAAATTCTCAAGGTTTGCTACTCATGGTGGGTGTTATCAAGCCTAGTAATGATTGATAGAGTGCATTGGATTGACAAGGAGAAGTTAACAAAATTCATACTAAACTGTCAGGTAACTGTTTATTATTCCCACTACTGCCATGTGGATAACCGTATGTCCCTTGACTTATAAATATTGGTTCCAACTCTTCTCATTCATGTTGATCGGAAGGACAAAGAGAATGGTGGCATTTCAGATAGACCAGATAATGCAGTCGATATCTATCACACATACTTCGGAATTGCAGGTGCTGCTTTTCTTCCCATACTGTGGTACTTTTATCATAAGAATCTTTGTGTGGCACGTAAATGGATTAGAATTATGAACTCTTTGCTGAATCTGTTAAAACCTCTCTTGCAAGCAGGACTTTCATTAATGGAGTACCCTGGTGTGAAGCCTTTGGATCCTGCCTACGCACTGCCATTGGATGTTGTCAATCGGATTTTCTTGAAAAAATAGAACATTCCATCTATTTTGAGATATGCTCAGATAACACTGTCAAATGTGGGCGCTACTTCACGGAATCACAGTAGTTAGCTTTGACGGACAAATAGCTGAGGTGTAGAATCAATTTTACATGGAAACAGGAACATGTTTGAATATCATAATAGCACATCTTGGACTTTTTTTTTTGAGCGTCGACCATACATCGGGTCTGAAGTCGTACCGTTTAACTACCACAAACATTGGCTGTGACCGCTTCCTAAATTTGTGCTTAGCTAATGTTTTTCTAGCATTTGCCACTTGCCCTGTTGAATGTTTCATGTATGTTGTGTTTTGCCAGTTGATCTGATTCTCTTGTTCAAGTCGCAACATTTTGTGTTTGATGACACACTAGTCATGAGCTATATATGTATGAACAGTAGACTTTTGTTTCTAAATGAAAAACAAGGTTAGCCACGCCATCTCAGTGGGCATAGTCTGACACACAACCTTCAATGGCTCGCCATATCATAAGGAAGCAAACGTTTTCAAGGCAGAAGGCTCAAATTTCAGTGAGGACTAAAAATATTTGCACAAAGCCTTTGGCTCCAAAGCAAAAACGGTCAGGCGCAAACAAGGCTCGCCACAAGGGAAAAGGCTCAAATTTCAGAGAGGACTGTTCTAAAAAAAAAAGTGAGGACCAAAAACATTTGCACAAAGCCTTTGCCTCCAAAACAAAAATGGCCAGGCACAAACAACAAACTCATGTAAGAATCTTCTGATTCAGATCGACATGCCTTGGTAGAACATTTAACTAAATAACATTTGATAACGCTCGAAGGATCGTTACAGCTCAATACACAGGAATTCAGGGCGAAACCTACAATAGAGCTACAAATTTACCAGATGCAATTCTCTTCCTACTCAAGCTTCTGATTTATACTACATAAGAGCTACTCAGAGAACGAACGCTACTGAAAGTGCAAATTGCTACATCCTTCCCGGGAGGCAGTTTGCCAATAATGGTATATGCCTGGAATTGGTCAAGAGGATGCAAACTGCAAACTCATTTCCAAGGCATGCTTGACAGGAACGGCGGTTGGTTATTATTGCTAGCAGCCATGCCTTGATGCAGTGGTGGTGGGCTTCCAGCGCCACCAGATGACTCGCTCAATGTACCTCTTGAAGGAGGGCTGTTGGGTCTCATCCCGGTTGTCGGAGTGACTTTCAGTGGCACTGATGTGGGGTCTGAAGGAGCATGCTTTTTTGGCTCTTTTTTGCCTCCAGAATTGAAGCTTCCCAGTACTATCTGCAGAGAATATATGCAGAGATAATCAGCATCTTTGTCTTGAGTACACATGTACAACAGACCAATAAAGTAAGGCAGTAGAAATTACACAGTGATTTCAAACTTTTAGGATATGAAACCCACTTTGGAGCACTACATTTAGAAAACGAGGGAATGCACGAAAATTGCACTGGAGATATACTGTTTCTAATAAACTACTGCAAGGGAGAAAAATAATATACCTGAACTGGTGAAGCTGCTATGAGAAGTCCTGCAACTCCACCACCCAACAGACGACCATCAGGGCCAGCCAGTGACACACTGAGCCCTCCAGTTCGACTACGCTGACCACCATTCTCCACTAGGAGGAATGACCCTGACAGTGATAGTATCTCGAATCGACCCTAAGGAAAAAAAATATCATTTGTTATTCAAATATATACATTGTACAGTGATTACGTCTGCAACTAAACCAGAAGTTTCCACCTCTCATGATAAAATCATAATATCTAGAACCCAATTAAGAGCTTTAGACAATATTTCTATTTCACCGAGAAGAGAAGTATGTTAGCTTCCACTGGCCATAAGCACAAACCTCGTATGTTACAGTTCCACCTGATGTAGCAGTCTGACGGTTGCGTCACATTTGATATGGCACCCACATTTGCTGAAAGAACACAAACTGCACGTGTTCCATGCTGAGAAAACGACATAATCTTTGATGACACGTCCTGAAAAGAAGAGTGTGTTTTGTTATATTTCAGAAAACACTAAAAAAGGGCGCACTCTAGGTCAGCAGAGAGCTCCCGCCTCATGCGGGGTTTGGGAAAGGTGTCAGTGGCAAGCCTTACCTCGCTTTGTGCAATGCGAGGAGACCGCGACTCGAACCCGGACCTTCCGGTCACTGGCGGTAAGACTACCGCTTACACCAGGCCCGCCCTGAACCTTGAAATTTGCTTTCATTAACAGTCACAGATCCAGAACTCAACACCTTAACACTGAAATAAAAAGAAATGCTATGCAAATACCACTAATTAGCAAAGCTACAGCAACTGAAATTATTTGACATCAAACATCATATTAATGAAAGATACAAACATGAAGGTTAAACAATAATGCTATAAAGTGGCAATAATATGCACAAGCCAAAACTGGGAGGGCAAAACTTGAAATGTTCCAAACAATCAAGAGAAGAATAATCAGTTACCACAGTACAAAATGTCAAGAATTTAGTTTACACTCCCATCAGCACCACATGATGGAAGACATCTAAGCATAATGTGTTAGCTCAGTTGGAATTGCTTAGTGCTTCAAATTAAATGTCTGAATGAACAATTTGGCAATTCAACTTATTGACGGAATAACAAACCATACATTTTTTGTTTTTTGTAAAAGAGGTTCCATAGTGGGAACATTATATATAGAAAAGTAGAGTGAAAAGAGAAAGTCCAAAAGAATGTAAACATGTGCAAAGAATCCAGGAAGAATAAAAGCAAGAACATATTCTGACAATAAAACAACAATCAACATGTTCAGATGCAAGATAGCGTGTTATACCTCCCCAGCTTGAACTGTAATAACATGAGGTGTAAATCCAACTCCTGATGACCCTGCAAGATGATTTCATGTTAGGGCTAGTTATGCTGAAATCATCAACAGAAAAAATGAGTCAATGTACATCAGCTTTGCAGGACTTAGAATAACTAGCAGCATGCTTCATAAGTCAGCAGAGAAATAACCAACATGCCACCACTCTCAAAAACGAACACGTGGTAAATTGTATACTGAAATAACTGAGGACAAATAAGTCCATCCACAATTTATAGTTTTATGCAGTTAACTAATTAAAGCTAGAAGGGTAGTATAACCAGTACATACTTCAGCTCACCATGAAGCAGATTCAAATTCTAAAGGACAACGGCACTTGAGCTAGTTCAATCAGCCTGTTCGGCTGGGCTTATACGATCAGATATCGATCGTGGATTATAAGTTTGGAACAGTATTTTTCTCTCACCAAACCAGTCAAACCAGCCAGCAAGAAAATAATCCACGATCGTTTATGATTAAAACGAACAGGCTAAGCTCAATAACAACTTTATCCTGATATATCATGCTGAAACTATACCAAAACCAAAACCTTACCAAAACCTTAAAATCAGTGTAAATGATAGGAGTAGAAATTTTACCAGCGGCATTCACACGCGGCTTGTTGGTAGAACCCTTAGGCCGGCCCCGCTTCTTAAATCCATCTGGCGACACCACCAGCAGAGAGCTCGCCGGATTTAACCCAGCCGGTGAAAACGGCCCGTAAGAACCCTGCCCTGTAGCCGTCGACCCGTAGCCGCCGACGCAGGCACCAATGTTAGCGCCATGGGCCCGTCGGGCCCGTACTTTCTTGGTCGCCCGCGCTTCTTCTTGGCCACCGGCTCCCCCATGCCCGGTGCAGCTGACGCACCATTGCCACCAACGACCGTCGCCGCGGACATGCTAGCCCCGTGGGCTGCGCCCTGCGGCTGGTAAGACGGCGTCGTAGGCGAGGAGTTAACCGGAGCGTACACAGCGGTGCCGTCCGCGGTGTACGCCATGCGCACGCTCTGCATGGCGGCGGACGCCGGCGGCCCAGGCGCCGGCGCCGGCGGGCTCTTTGGCATACCGAATAGATCCCTCCCCGCCATCAGCCCTTGCTCGGACCTCACCTCCATGGCGGACCACCACCCGTTTCTTGACTAGAACTCAAATCTGCAATCTTTAGCCACTGGAAAGAGCTCACAAGCGCTCAAGTGAGGTCAGGACTAGGGATTGCGAACCTGCAAAAAAACCCGTAAAACCCTTCACTCCTTTCACGCGACAAACACACAGTTTTACGGCACAGGCAGATTTCTCGAAGAAATGGAAGATGGGAATAAGTAGAAATGAAAAGAAAAGTAAATTACTGGCGGAAATGGGAGATAAATAAAAAATGGGCAAAGGAAATGGTAAAAGGTCCAAGAAAAGGTAGGTTTAAAGACCAACAAAGCACATAAGCTGCAGATCCCCACTTTTGCCCGGATTTTGCAGGGGGGATACCCAACAAATCACCAGAATTTCTGACCCAACAGTTGGAGAATGAAGAAAAAAAATATGAGTTCAAAAGGATGAGCAAGTTCCAGACCGGAAGATCATGAGCTAGGAGAAGGCATCACACTAGCACCACAGACGCACGCAAGGAGATGAACAGATTAAGATAAGGGAGATTTCAGCTAACCTAGAACTCATGGTTTCTTGCTAAATGGCCTCCAATTTATCTCTCCTTTTTCCTCTTTTCCTCACCTCTCCAGTTCACACGGGCTCTTTCGTTTTCGCAATTAACAAAAAGGTTTTTGTCGCAGAAAACGAAAAATAGGAAGCAGGTAAGTAAAGCACGCCAAAATTGCCTCGGGAGATTTATTGCTGTAGCAGATAAGAAGGGAAGAGGAGGAGATGGATCACGGATGCGGCGGTCTACCTCATTTGACCCCAGCACTTGTGCTATTTACTTTGAGATCCTCCTTTGCATATTGACCAATATGGGCTTGTTTGGCTCTAATAAGTCTCCCCCGTCCCAAGGCAACAACATGGTCCTAAGGCCGCCTCTAATGATCAAACATAAAGACAGTTGAATTAATTTTTAATCATCAAATAATATGAAAAGAAGAGATTAATTTCGATCGTGAGTGATAGTCTTGCACATTTCACGACGCATCTCTCTCATAGCACGATGTTCAAGACTACTTGTTACAGTCGTCCTGTTCTTCGACACTACTTCAGCAGTACTGTGTTTTCCTCTCACAATAATCAGCATAAGCATTATCATAAGCCAAATTTCAGCGAAATGAACAGGGTATCTTTTTCATGTATATTTATTAACTTAGAGCTAGTGCTAGCTCATAAGTGTCTAAAATCGAACGCCTGGGTTGCTTCACATGTTTGGCAAATGTCTTAGTAGAAAGCAAACAAAAACTATCTAGATGATTTATGTGTTGTTTTTCTTTGTTTGGTTTACACAGGGTGGTTGTGGCTGATTGACCTAAGCAGCATCTATTTGACCGATCATTACCAAGTAATAAGCTAAGGCCCTATTTAGTCCATGAGAGAGTTAGCCATGCCACACTAGTGCAGTAGGTCAGAGTCTGGTTTAGCCATAGCTTCAGGTAGCCAAATGTGCGGCGATGTTTCATGTCTTGAGGTGATGTCGTTCCTTGCAAAAATGTGGCGCTTGTTATGCTTCCGCGCTTTTGGAGTAGCCGACGCTATGGCGTGTTATGGTTCTGCTTAAACCAAACACGCCCTAAAACAATTGAAATGAAACACTAGATCATTGAAAGAAACATGAGCTTCTTTGCCTTAAGAACACTTTATACCTTGTTTGGATGTAGATATTGGAGCCTAGAATTGGGAATTGGAATCATGTTTCTTGAATTCTGCTGTTTGGATGTTCATGGTATTGAGATTTAGAATTGCAACCCCAATACCTTGGTATTGGACTAGAACTAGGATTGACCTCTCTCAATACAGAGGGGTAAGGCTCTGTATTGGCTGGAATTGTCTGCTCTCTCTCCCCCGACCTGATGCGACATCGCCCTTGCGCCCCTGACCCGACGCGACCGCCCTCGGGCCCCCTTGAAAGGTCCTTGTTTGGTTTTGGTAATTGAGTGATAACCTATGTGGACTAATATGTGTTTATATGAGATACACAGGTGATTAGTCCATAAGTACATGTGTGTGAGCAACATATGCCATGACGGTGAAGATGGTTTGGATATGTTGCAAGGCTCACACATGTGATGAAGGAGCTCATTGCATATGAGACATGATATTAGTCATGTGACTAAGGTGGAGAAGATCAAGACAAGACTTAGCTTGATGGACCAGTTGCAAGCATGAATGGCAAGTTGGAGGCATTAGAGCGATGGACCGTTTGGCGGTGAAGCTTGAGCAAGACTTGGCGCCGATGGACGAAGGCAACGGTGAAAAGCAAGTGAGGTCGAGATCGATGAACCAATATGGTCACGTGATGATATGAAGTGGATCATATCATTTGGTGATTGGTTGGTGCATGTGTTGCATCAATAATGGAGGAGTTGGAATGGAATGCGCAAGGCAAAGGTATAACCTAGGGCATTTTATTTCACCGGTCATAGGTTGTGTAGAGAAGTGCTTGACCGGGTTTAGGATAGATGGCCGTACTATCAAGAGGGACAAACTTGTTTGCATATCAGTCATCCAGTGTCACTTGAGTGATCTAACTTTGCATCATTGCTAGGATCGAGTGGCGCGGCAAGTTATGTGGTTAACTCCTTGAAAAATGTTTGTGAAAAGCTAACACGTGCACAAGGTGTTGTACATTTGGTGGTGTTGGCACATTTGCAAAGAAGAAGTTGGTGAAGAGAAGGAGTTGAATGCGCTGGTCATGGGGTGACCGGACGCGTCCCAGATCTCGACCTAAGGCGGTAGTATTCTGACGTGGATCGGTCGACGGCGTCCGATATTCTCGCCAAAAGGGCGAGTTGCTTGAGGTGATCGGACTCGCTCGTCAGCGATGACCGGATGCCGAGCAATCACCGCTTAGCGTCAGTCGTGGTGACGTGGGCGCAGTGTTGGTCCGAGAGGATCGGGGATAGGGCACGCTTTCGCTGCCACACCGGACGGGCGCGTCGTCGGTCAGAGTTGAGCGGCTCGAGCTATCTCGACTCGACCGGACACCGCCTCTCTGCGTTCGATCACTTCACCGTAGTGTGTCCGGCGCGCCACGTTAGAGCGTGTCGAGAGGGTCGTTGGGCGGCAATGGCTACTTCGCTTGAATGGGACACGTGGCGGTCAAGCGTTGATCGGATGCGCAATGACGGGACGCCAGCGTCAAAGGTGCACGACCTACGATCCGGTCATCCCAAAATCTACCCAAAGAAGGGTAACGGCTATTTTAGCCCATTGGGCTATAAATTGAAGTGTTGGTCGGCCTTTGGCGAGAGCTAAGCACCCTTGAGCCTTGGTAGTTTGTGTAGGTGTGCATGGGAGCCCTCTAACTCACTTGAGCTTGATAGTGTTCATTCGATCGAGTGAGTGAGTGATTCTAGTGCGATTGCATCATGAGGTTGCATCGAGTGGCACTAGATGATCGAGTTGCAAGCCGGTGGTGCTTGTTACTCTTGGAGGTTGCCACCTCCTAAATGGCTTGGTGGTGATCTCCATTGAAGCACGTAAATAAGATTGTGTAGTGCTCCTAGAAGTGATTGTGAGAGGGATTGTGCCTCATCTCAAGGAGCCACGAAGAGCAACTCTAGTAGAGCGAGACGCTAAGGGGTGACAAGTGGTCCGGCCGGTCAAGTGCTAGATCTTATGGTAAGCACTCCACGTGGGAGAGTGTGACTTGCGGGTCACCACTAGCAAGAGGACCGACGGCAACCTTGGAGTTTGTCTCAACGGGGACTAGCGTGTTGGCAAGCACGTGAACCTCAGGATAAAAATCATCGTGTCATCTTTGTATTCTCGTTGTTTTGCATCCTCATTACACAAGCTTGTATTTACTTCATTTACATTGTGCTTGTGTAGTTGCTTTGTAATTAGTTAGCTTGTGTAGCTTGCTAGTTACCTTCTTGCTTGTGTAGCATAGAAGTAGTCCCTTAAGTGACTAATTCGGTTTAAGTAACCTTGTTAGTCACATTGCTTAGTTTGTGTAGCTAAGAAATTTACGCTCTATAATTTAGCTTGTGTAGCCTTGTTATTGAGCATTGCTAGTGAGTTTAGGTGGCTTTGTGCTTTTGCTTACTAGCATGTTAGGAGCTCCCTCGTTGCTTGAAGTACTAGTGGCATAGGTTTGTGCGACCTTACTTCTAGAATTGGTTAGGTGAGCTCTAGCTAGCCCGACACCTCTATTGCCTAATTAAGATCTTTATAAGGTGCTTGTGAACTTCGATAGAGGGGTGTAGTCTTGGTTAGATCAATTTTTTTAATTCCGCATTTGTTTCGGTTAGCCGACGCGATTAAATTTAGAAAGGACTATTCACCCCATCTAGTTCGTCATCTCGACCCTACACGTGGTATCAGAGATAGGTCTCTCATTTGTGGTCTTTACCGACCTGAGAGGATGGCGACTTATGGGCTAGATGTTGACTGTCCACATATTTTTTATGGCACACACTTTGCACGGTGAAAACATTGGATGATATGCAATTTCAAGTTTATTTGCCCTCAAATATGGTGGATGGTGGATGTAGGCTTTTCTCATATGTTGGATGAAAATAATCTAACTCAAGCACAAGAGAAATGCCTAGATCTCGACACCCAAGCTATTGACATCATGTATAGATCTTTGGATGATAGCATATTTAGAGAAATCATTGACTTGAAGACCGCCTATGAGATTTGGAGTTATCTCACTGAGAAATATGGGACGGTCTTCGATGATGATGATGAGCCCAAGAAAGAGGCACATGAGGATGTTGAGCATTACCACAACTTGGTGATTGTGGAGGATTGCTTCACCTCATGGTCAAGTGATGATGATGATCATACTACCACAAGATCACTTGACAAGGTTGATGATGATGCCACAAGTGTTGCACATGAAGATTCTACCTTAAGCACACTTGGTAGTGATCTTGATGATGTTGATTCATGCTCAAGCTATGATTGTGATGCTACTACAAGCTCTCCAACTACATCACATTGCTTCATGTCATAAGGT